CGTTTCGGACAACAGTGGGCTGATAGCATCGTTTACGTTGAGTCAACGTTAACGTTAGCGATCAGCGTTGATTCAACGTCAACGTTAACGCGTTAACTTAATCGTTAACCAAATATGAGAAGGACCATAAATTCATGGAAATGGTGGCGTATAAGTTTCAGAAACTCGGTGATTTCCGGAAAGTTTACACTTTTGAATTCATGCTAGAGGATGTCTTCAGAGATTGCAGACCGAAATCCAAGATGGTGACTTCCGGCTAGTGAAAATGCCTCGAAGACCCTACAATATGGGTATCTACGGAATGGAGTTGACGAGTAGATGTCAACAATCGGTATCCGGTGCAATTTTGAGATCCAATATGGCGGACCGAAATCCAATATAGGACCATTTGGGCACAGACAAACAGACATCACTCTGGCAATTTGTTCACCGAACACGCATTTAACGGTCAATTTAAAAGTTTTTAGTTGGTAGTACCACCATCTGTGGCGCGAATAGTCAATAACCCTTGCGTTTGACGTTTACACACTACCACCATCTGTTCAGTGTACTGCCAGAAGGTCCCTAAGAAACGTGCTCAACTTTTTGGCTCAGCTCTGGTACTCTCTTCGGTCCCAAGCTAATCGATGCACCCCTCGAAACATAGGAAAATCCACGAACCCCTCATTTTATCAGTCAATCTTTCATAGCGAATCAAAACAAACATAGTGTAGTACTAGAATTTCGACTAGAATGGGGTACGCCTATAGATGTACTTGGGACCAATATGCTAGTCCAGTGTGAGCCAATTTAAATCGTTAGTTTCCACCGGTTGGTACTACCCATCACAGTATACTCAACAGATGGCGGTAGTGTTTTAGCGACGATGTTTCATATTGAAAAATATTCAATGTGTATTGTCTCATCGTCTGTGATATGGGGGTTCAATTTTGAGATGCGATATGGCGGATGGTGACTTCCGCTTTGTGAAAATGTCTCGAAGACCCTACAATATATGTATCTATGGAACGAGGTTGACGATTAGATGTCAAAAATCGATATCCGGTGCAGTTCTGAGATCCAATATGGCAGACCGAAAACTAATATGGCGACTTCCGGTTTGTGAAAATGTCTCGAAGACCCTTCAATATATGCACATATCGGTGAAACGATTATTCGGTGACGAATAAATGTGAAGAATCGATATTGGTGGTTAGACACTTTTTTATGGATATTTCCTATTTGAATGTCACTTCTTCCAGTAACCAGTAACATCGTGCTCTGCTGAATCAGCATTGAAGCTTAATAATACGGAATGCTGAACTACAATGATCCAAGAAAAACTGAATCACTGGATGATTTTCAATTTGTGTTCTGAATCTTTATCATAAATTTAAGATAGCTACTAATACTAATACTTCATTTCTTGTAAGAAAATAGTAGACTGAAAAATGTTCATCTGCCCAAATATTTAAACGTGGATTCACTTCTGATGTAATGTAATGAACGCAGTAATGGTATGAATTAAAATATTTGATCAGCTGGCTACAAGTTCAATATTTCCCGTTAAGTTGTGCAAACTGTACGATGAATATCCTCACCCAAAACCTATACTAAGTACCTGTTCAGACAGTTATGCACAGCAAAAAATAAATTTTAATATTACATCCAAAAGGATACACTTCAATCTTGTCGAAAATCGCATGAAATTGTTATGGCCACAACAATAAACAAATGCAGTAAAAGCAGCGCAACGTCAGTTCATGCACTGTATTAATGATAATTTTGTCCTTTTTGGCAAGTAATATTACACCATATTTTTGACACGATTGAAGCAACCGGTGAAAACTAACGATTTTAAATTGGCTCACTACTTGACTAGCCTATTGGTTCCAAGTAAATCTATAAGCGTACCTCATTCTAGTCGAACTTCTAGTACTACACTATGTTTGTTTTGATTCGCCAGATAAAATGAGGGGTTCGTGGATTTTCCTATGTTCCGAGGGGTGCATCGATTAGCTTGGGACCGAAGAGAGTACCAGAGCTGAGTCAAAAAGTTGAGCACGTTTCTTCGGGACCTTCTGGTCTTAGAGTTACCTCTATGATTGAAGTACCATCCACTTTGATATAATATCAAAATTAGTTTTTTGCTGTGTGCAGTGAAACCTCCATGAGTCAATATCCTTTGTGTCAATGATAGCTTTGTATAATGTCATCTCTTGGCGTTTATTCAGACGATTCAACCTAATTCGTGTTGCTCGTGTTGGTGTTCATTCGACCAAAACACAACCGAATGCGATGTGGTTGAATGACCTCACACTGTTTAGTGCGAGTTAGTTCTATCAGGTTGAACTCGGTAGAGATTTTGACATAAGACCACGTGGCTTTTAGAGAAGAACCTAAGAGAAGAGGAGACAATAAGGTGATCCAAGAGACGTTTCTCTGTGGAACTGATAGCTAGTTGGTTCGTGTCTATTCTCTTCCGGGCAATTTTTGTTTTATCTAGATAACAAATTTCTATGCTTTGACTATATGTTTTTAGTATTACTTCTACGTGAAGTCAACGATTTACATAGTTGAAGATGCTAATTTCAAATAACAGACTGTAGTGGTAATTTTTATACGATAGATGGAGTAGATGAAAGCATAGAGTTGATAGTTCCGTTAGAGTACGGCAGTGTGAAGATTGTATATAGATATTAGAGAAGCGAGCTAGGACAACTTTTAAGGAAGGTACAAATCGGTTTTTTCATCTCTCTTCACCAAGCTCCCCCTTTGGAGAGGGATGGTGAGGGGTGTGTGTGTCCCCACCACTGGCAAAAAGAGATGAAAACCGACCCGCTCAAGTACCAACTGTGTGTTTGAAACAGTTCTACCGATTTTTTACCGCACTTCAGTTGTTATTTGAAGGAAGCTCATCCAGTCGTAGGTTTGGAAATTGCAACTATTGTTTTCCCTTACCACTATCGTATAAAAATTACCACTACAGTCTGTTATTTGAAATTAGCAAATTTCTATGGTTTTGACAAATGGGATCGCTGCACATTTGAATCCGCCGTTATGGATTCTCGATCAACAGTTAAGTTTGAGTTTCATGTCGGTTTGTCGGTGGTTCTACTGTGATCTGTCATAAGTTCTTGGTAAACAAAAAAAGTCAACTGACCGTAACTGTCTCGTGGACGTGAAGAAATTGAAAAATTGATAATGACGTTTTGCTACCTATCAAATAGTATGGAATATTTTTTAGAATATCATCACTGGTTTTGGATTTCAAACCTAGGTGTCGCATGCACTGGTGCAGTTTCGCGTAGATTCATCAATCGATTGCACCTTTGTTTACAAACAAATGATGGTAAGCTGTTAATGACTCACGCTTACTGCTGCTTACACTACACCGGTGTAGTGTATCAAAAACGAAAACGATATAAGTGTGTAGAATCGTTTCTTCTTGTTCTTCTAACAAATTCACGTGGTCTTATGTCAAAATCTCTACTTAGTTCAATCAGGTAGAACTAACTCGCACTAAATAGTGTGAGCTGTTTCAACCACATAGCAAGTATTTTTTTAAAGTTATTTCACTCCTAATAAAAGAAAATTGAAAATTTGATCAAATGGGTGTTCATTGAGACAAGAAAATCGAACAAGGTCGTACCGTGGAACCCCGCTAATCTGAACGGCACTTCATGCATATTAACGGTGTTCATTTTTGATTTTAACTTCTAGTAACCCTATCAGGAATGCATGTTTCTGGCAGCCTTATTTGCTGTTTTGTCTTGAATCTGCGTTCCATTTCACTTTTCTCTATATTCCATATAGACTTCCCTGACGTTTGTGAAATGTACAAGTATTAGCGCAGAACTTTGGGTAAATTATAAGTATTAGTGCAAGAAAACCTTTGAATTTACCCAAAGTTCTGCACTGATACTTGTGAAATTCACAAACGTCAGAGAAGTCTATAGGTACTGAATGACGTTTGAGCAATTTTTGGTTTGCGCGGCGTGCAAATTAGTGGGGTTCAAATTAAAAAGTGTTCAGATTAAAAACGGTTAGATAACCGGGGTCCACTGTTTTCGGTTGCGGTAGGTTTGACAGTCATTTTTGACTAAAAATCCGAGTAAGTACGGGCAAGTTCGAGTTAGTGCAAGCTGTGTCATCATACAGACCTAATATTGACTAAAAGTAAAATGCACTTCATATTTCTTCAGGCCGATACACTCTTTGATATCGATTCACGGAAGAATTTGCTGTAGTTGAATTCATGATTTTGAACTTGTTGCAAATAATTAAACTAAAGAGAATAGAATAAACAAAGAGACGTCATCTGATCTTTTCACATCTAGCAACCATGGTAGCCGATACGCGTCGCACTGTCATTGCTCAAATTCCGCTTAACTTTTTTTCTAGTCATCGTGTTGATTTTGCGTTGGAGTAGGTAATCAATTTGATTCAAATGAATGAAGCAGAAAGCAATACTTCTACATTAACAGTCACAAAAAAACTAGTTTGACAGGTCTAGTGTTCGATTGAATCTGATGAATAAAAGTGACATATACATTGGAATTCCAGTCGTAATATGGCGTCTCTTTGTTTATTCTAGTCTCTTTAGATTATACTACGAAAGTCCACTACCTTGAAATGTACTTTGAAAAGTATGTTACCAAAATTATTTATAATCATAACATTCAATTGCAGCAACCGGACTATTTTCAAACATCAAGTCAAACTATTGGATGAGAGAATCTACTCAAATTCGTTTCCTTTTAAATGTATGACTCAATCATCAAATTTGCAGTTGATATGTACTTTTAACCAGTTCGGTATCGCGGTTTCTCTAATATAAGATATCATATTTAGACACAATCACCATTGATATATTACGAAACAAATATAAATTGAAATAAGTAGCAATAATCGAGTATGGTAAGTATAGAGAGAATAACAGAGAGAAAAAGAGCTTAGATAGATCCAAAAAAGAAGAGATGTCTCCACATAAAATACAAATTCAAAACCATCAATCTCACCTTGCTATTGGCAAACAAAAGTCCCACACCTTCCAAGCAGATCTGCATCAGCCCTCCTTCGCCGGTATTCAGATCCTGTACCGGAAACTCACCGCCCAGCTCGGGTCCCTGACCGGTACATCCATTGCGTTCCATGGCTTCCTTGATGGCAGTGTACAGTTCCTTGCACTGAAACGAATTCCCCAAAAATCAGTTGACTTTTACTACTGAAAACAATCGCAACAATACCTTTCTCGTGTAGTATTTTTGCAGCTGGGTTTGACCGCCATTCCGACGCCAGAGACACAGAACGCGAGTCTTGGGTGAATAGGTCATATTGACCAACCGTTCGAACCACCATCGCTCCACGATCGTTCCATTGACCGACCGCAGCACCAACCCATCGTCCCGAACTTCCATAAACCGCAACGGACCAGTCGTATCTATACCCTGGTGAACGGTGAAACTCTGTCGATGGAGAAGTCTTGAACCCAGAGGTTTCAAATCAATGTCGTTGCCATGCTGTAGAAGGAGAAAGATAAGCCATGAAGCGAACGTTCTGACAAGCTTTCAAATGAAGAATTACCAAATTGTTGATCTGATCCAACAACAGGTTCACTTCCTGAGCGTAGATCAATCCGATATGGCTTTTGCCAAGTAATCGCCGAACTTTTCGTTTGATCTCCAATTTGTTACAATTCAACATCACCAAAATCGCCGTCAGATTGTACAGCATCGTAGACAGCAGTCGATCTTCGTCATGTTCCAACCGCTTGCGTTCTGATTCCGAGAGTGATTTGTACCGTTCCATCATCTCTCCGGGACCTTGATCCATGCCGATCATGTCACGTTCCTGACTGACCGCATCCAGAAAGGCATCTTCCCAAAACTGCATCTGATCCCACACGTTGGATCGCTCCTTACCGAGCAGTCCTTCGAACAGGTAGACTCGTGGAGCATCTGGCGAAGGCGAGTTCGACGTAGGAATCAGGCTTCCACCAGTGTAACGGAAACCAGCGCTGAGGGATGACTTGCCAGTGAACAAACCACCAGCCATCTTCTTGGCGTCCTTCAGGGTTGATGATCCCTTTGGAAGCTTAAACGAGGAATAAAGTGTTCGTTACGGGTTTTGCTGGAATAATTCCGGTTATTTATGTGAATATTTTTACAAATCATTCAGAAAGCTTTTGATCGAATTTAATATCGCTGCACAGAACGTTTTAAGCAAAAAAATTCTACCAATCTAAACAGCCGCTAAAGAGACTAGGCTAATGTAACGATCAATGCAGTTCAGCTCTTTGCTCGTTGATCGTCACATGGCTGCAACTCCACAATGACTGACACGTACTTGCCAGAGTACTGATAGCACTTACTTTCTCGTACTCCGTATCGGAAACGGTCGACCGGCAAGAGATGGACGGTATCAACGATCCTCCGGAGTGTTGCTGTGGTAGCACATCACTGGCCACGGACAGCGCACCGGACGATCCGTGAACTCCACCGCCAGGCTGCATAGGAGCGCAATTTTGACGAGGTCGGTGGTTGCGTTCGTGGTGAGTGATACGGGGCAAGAAACACAAACATTCAAGAAAACACACATTTACAACTGGAGATCACAAACTAATACGGGATGGAATAGAGATTGTCTTTCGAGGGATTACCCAATCGTGGATCTAGGATCAAACTACTAACGGTTATATGAAGCACAATTTTGACTCGTGAACTCAAACTTGAAAATGCCTTTTTACAGATAGACGTAATAGAGATAGAAAAATGAAGCTAACTCGATCGAGAAAAAAACAGGAATACCCAACTCACCTCAGAATCAAAAGAGGTTAGTTTGCTGAGCAGCATATTTCGCTTTTGAGTTAACATATCCTTGAACATCTCGGTCGTTGATTGATTATCGTTGTCATTCTCCGACGGTCGACGCAATATCACAGGTTCGTTTAGTACGGAAGAATTTTTACGGGATCCTACCACGGAGCTCCAGTCTCCCGGTTCCGACGGACTTGGTGGTGATCGAAGATTCTCTCGACTTCCCATTGGACTGACGGACTAGAGAGTTCAACAGAAATTAGTAATCTATTCCTAACTTCGGGAACCTTCTACACTCACCCGACTTGACAGCAAGCTGGCCGACAGGTCACCCGTATTATCTGTCAGGTCTTTACTCCAGTAGTGTGTATGAGCAATCTCCATCATTTGGAACACAGATGCCATTCCTCCAAGCCCGAAGTTTGCAACCGTGTTTTCCAGCCCATGGGTAATAGCCAGCAAACATTTGAGTGTCCCCTTGTAAACATGCTTCGTTATGCACTGTAACTCAAAAATCTCGGTTAGCTAAGAATCTCTTTGAAAATATACCTTTTCCCACTTACCACATCGTCGATGTGATCATCGGGCCCGATCTTCCGTTCCAAAGTCTTGTTCAACTTTCCAAGCACTAACATTCGATACGATTCATCCTCCATCAACTTCTTAAGACGATTCAGCTTCAGCCAACCAACTCCCTCGCCCGCGAGTACCTGGTTGACCAAGTCCTTCAAGAATGCTTGGTTTTCCGAGTTACTTGATGACCGTTCTGCATTCTGTATTCGTTGGATCTCCTCCTGCGTTTGCTTCGGCCCCGAATGTTTGATGAGTGGAGTACGTTCTGCCAAGCTCTTTCGACCGGGGAATGAATCAAACGATAGCTTATCCTTAATTTTAGTTTGAGTTTGACCTGGACTAGACTGTACGCTACTAGCAGCTGATCGCACCTGCTGTTGGCTAGTATGTTTGCTCTGTTTACTGCCGAACAAGTCCGAGAACATACTCGACGTAGACTGGGCGATCCCATTAAAGTCGCTGGTGATCGACGACAACAGCGATTGGTTCGTGGTAGCCACTGTGGCACTACCAGATGAGGAAACTGTCTGCTGGCCCTGTAGATTCTGCTGGTTACCTTGGTGAAGGTGTATACCCTTTTTAGCGGCTGCTTCCTTAGCCGTTTTCGTCAGATCACCTAGCGTTGACTTGCCCACGTAGGTCAGATCGTCGAGTGTGTTCTTGCTGACTCCAGCCGCTTGCTTTGAAGCTTCCAAGGCCTGCTTGGATGCTTCTTCGGCGGCTTTCTTTGCTTGTAGCGTTAGCTGGATAAAGGAGAAACAAATATTCAACATCTATTCGCTCATATTTTGCTTAATAAGCATGCAGAAAACGACATCTATTGGTTATAAGAGATTCTATCTAAAACTCAAAAACCGTGTATCGACTACAAACCTGTTCCAGTGGAGCGAGTATTTTCATTTCCTCTTCCGCATGCTCCTTGAACTCTTTCGCTTGTTCTTTAAACTGTCGTTGTGTGGTGTTTTGTTGTTGTGATTTTGTGTTTTCGTTGGTGGAAGGGGCAAACCGAAAAGGCACATCGATAAGGGGAAAGATAAAGAAAACAGGGCGTTTGGTAGATAGGTGAACACATCGAAAAGACACAGAAAGAGTTTCATGCCACCCGTTAAGAGTAACTGCCTTACCTTGTCAACGTGAGCCAGTAATCCATCCTGACTACTTTGCCGGGTCGTTTCGCGCACCAATTCCTTCGCCTGTGAAGTCAAGACCTCAAACAATGATCCTTGAGAGCTCTGACGTTGCGATCCGGCTGATCCTAGCGATGGTGGATGACCACTAGAACCAGTCGACCCCGAACTGGATGTTCTGGCTAGCATGTTGCTCCCACTTTGTTGTCGTGCAAGGTTTGGAGACAAAGGTGGCGGAATCTTTCCCAGCCTATTTCGTTTCCCTTCCGCATCCAGGGAACCACTGCTTTCTTTCGATACGATCGTCTTTGGCGTAGTCGTTGAATTCGAATCGGATTCGTTTTCGAAGCTACCCTGCGTTTCCTTGGCCGGTTTTGGGGGCACCTGTACTTCGCTCCGCGCTTTTGGGTTAAACTCGAATTCCGAATCTGGAGGACTACTGAGATCCGATCGGCTGGACGATGTTGATGCCGGTGAATCCGGGCGATCCGTATCGCCAGGTTCTGCTTGCGGAGGTTTCATGCCATCTGGATAGCGCAAAGAGCTCGGTGGTCGATACACCAACTTCGGATCGAGATTGGAAGATAGGGTTTTCGGTGCCACGTGTACGTGATGTTGATTCCCGTAGACATCGTGCAAGCTCGGTGAAAGGTCTGATGATGCTATTTCGGAAACGAAATCACTCAACGACGAATACGACGAACTAGTACTTTCCGCATTTTCCGAGTCCGAACCACTTTCGTCTGTTGGCTGGTTTTCAAGCTGCTGCATACCCTTCAGAGCACTATTCAACGAGCCGCTATTGTCCCATACGGGGAACTTGATAGGAGTTAACGTATGCGCGTACCACTTCGGTTTGTCACCAACCTGGGCCGGATCTAGCACCCCTGTTTGCACTCTCAGAAATGCTACATTGTTAGGAGTTAGCGACCACTCGGCCAACCATTCAACGGCTTGAGTTCGTGCAAACCGATTCAGGAAGGCGGATGCCCTGGGTCGGGAACGTAGAAAACTGTTGATTTGGAACGCCACCACAGGTCTCGGATAGAGACGGAGCGTGCGAGTGTGTTCCGTAAAGTTGGCAAGTGTATTTTGTGAGTTGAAGAACCGTACCATTGCGACCCGGGTCGCCACGTCCACCGAATCCACATCTGTACCGTACAGGAAGGGGTTCGGTTGCGGTGGTCCAACGGGACTCGGTTGACGAGATATCCCCACCGCACCGGAAAACGAGCTCCGTTGGCTATTGCTTGCTGATCCTGGCACTTGTAAAGGCTGAGGGAAACTACAAGGCAAAAAAAGGTCCGATTAGAGAATTATGAAATTACTGTAATGGGGCGTTCAGGCGTACGTTTGAGGAGGAATGCTTGTTCCGCTGAAGCTCTCACGATTGGAACCGGGCTGGCTGATCATAAGGCCAGACGGCGCCGTGCTAGCTTGATTGCTTGTCGTCATGGAAGTTATAGCCTGTTGATAACGGGACGGAATAGAGAATGTTAGTATGTGAGTCTGTTTACGAAAGGGGTTTCTTTTAACGCGAAGCTCTATACTAGTGACATCTGAAGGTGCATAAAACTAAGCAGATATAGATTCTAAAGAAAAAAAAAGTAAGCAGTGCTTTTGACAGTGATCATACGGAACCACGCTGGCACAACTTTGGTTCAATTAATTGGCAAGCAAAACTACCGTAGAACCCCGTTAGTTTGAATAGCAAAAATGGCAATTTAACGGTGCTTATATAGAACTGGTTGAAGAAGTACTACTACAACACTGGTGCGTTACGCCATAAGGCAGAAGAGGTACCAGTTAAACAAATTTTAAATGAGCTCCGATTAATTACAATTTTAGCTTTTCAAACTAACAGGGTTCTGTGGTATTCCAACGAAAAGATGAGTTTATGATTCAGTTGTGCATTTGCTACGGAGTCTACGGTCTCATTGGATATTTCTGTTGCAGGTTTCTGTTGCACTGTTCAAATCGTTCAGATGACTAGTGTAAATGGCTACGTTGTTACGAATTTATGCAAAGATGCGAGCACATTGTTAGATAGTGCCAAGCGAAAACGAGACTAGTTTAGTCAATCTTTTAGCGAAGACAACAAATCAAGAAGACTGGCAACTCTTCCATTTTCTCATACGAACGCTATGAGACAGGTACAATCGCGTCATCTGTCGCTCAAAGGTAAATGCTTCGAACGAATTTGATAGCAAAGATTACATCCTCAGAAGAAAGGTTTCTTGATATGATGTCTTCGCTTTTAGCCAAATAATGTGAATAACGCATTCCAGCGATGTTCAAAGATGTTCTTTGAGTATGAGCCAATTCATTCTCCGAGGTCACGGGGTGCTATTCAACAACCAAGGCGTGAAGGCAATCGATTCGGATCGAGCTAAGGACAAAACGACGTATGCAGCACTTTTCCGGAAAGTGTGAGAGGATCCAAAGTGAAGGAACTAGGAGTATGGACTCTATCCTAGGAGATAGTGTAGTGGTCGAGTGTTGGGATCTGAACGAAATCACAATAGAATAGAAGCTGAGAAGTGCGTTACAGGTACCCTGAGATCTGCGAGATGTACCGATGTCAATCCGGATGAGGATGGCAGTGGCGCGCAATCGGTGGCGATATGACTTTCGACAAGCTGTTGGAAACGGGCAAAGTTAAGGTTGGGAGGTAAGTGTGCTCGCCCCTCGGGTTACTGAGCAAAAGGAATAATTCTTAGCATGGGCTTCGGTCACCAGACGAGGAATTGCAAATACCTTGACAGATCTGTTAGAGACTACCCGAAGCAACCGAGGTGCATGCTCTGCAAAAAGGAGGACGGAAACGACCATATGACGAGAGGCTTCAAATGCCCACTTAACAAACCATTTGAGCTGATTAACGGCGGAATAATCCATATTTTAGCTGAATAAGCATATTTCTGCTTGAATAAGCTGCTTCCAATGTTTGATGGGCAGCATACAAAAAGGTGACGGCAGGCCAACGGTAATGGAGGTAACCTCAATCACTTGACATTGAACAGCAACTGTTGTCTTCAAAGGATTCAGAACACAGTTCTGCAGATAATTTTGATATTGCCTCCCTCGTACAGTACTACCGAAGTACACATAATTTTGAATGTTGAGACTTTAGATAAAATTTAGTTTTAGTTTTTAGTTTTAAGATGTCTATTGTTATACTGACATGCAGGTATAGAAAACCTGTTTAAAATACTGAATTTCCAAGGCAGAAATAATGTTAAAACACTTAGATATACATCATAACAATTCAGGCTGGTAAGCTACTGTAGTAGCTGGAGCATCTAGGTTAAAATTTAATTTAATATGAATTTTGAACAAATAAAGAGATCAGCAAGTGCGACGTTGCAATCATTGCTGGACCCTACCTATCGACCCATCAACTCATGAACCGGGGACCTACGGCTTTACTTCTCTTCCAAAGTAAGGCGTGTTCAGAGATGTTATGCCTCAGAACACCCCGGCTGTGCCGACTGGGATTGAACCCAGGCCTGCTGGGGTGAGACGTATCAAGTTGCACCCGATAACGGTAACTGGATGGAGGATAGAGCTGGGATGGCAGCAACACAAGATACGGGTGATAAACAAAATGACCGGAATCTTCATATGCAGTTGCTACGCACCTCCTAGAGCAGTACCTTCAGATGCTGGATAGATTTACCGAAGAGCTTATCGGTCGATGACCAGTAGTAATCGATGGAGACTTCAAAGCTTGGACAGTGGAGTGACGAAGCAGAAGTACCAACGCAAGAGGGTAAAGCCTATTTGAAGCTCTGGTGAAACTGACGGCCGTGAATCCATTGTCGACATCCCATTCTGCAGTGCCTGATAAAGTGGACCAACCAAGAGCTCCCTACAGTGAGCAGGGTTCACTGGGTCAGAGCCAGAGGTTGGAACCTACCAAAAACCCGGACCGATTACTCCATCAAAAACAAGTTCAAGGCAGGTTTCAACCATCTAGCTGTTTCTAAATCGGTAACCCAGCTCCATGGAAAAATATAAACATCATACCATCCGCTACTCCGATGGCTCAGTTACTTGGATGGGTGTTGGTATCGGGGTAACAGGACTGCACCTAGCAGTTTGCTATAAGCTTCCGATTCAATGGTCCATCTTCTCGGCCGAAGCTGCGCCGCCTTTATTGCTGCAACGACCCGATCGCCGTGTTTACCGACTAGGCTAGTCTAGTGGAAGCTCTCGACTCAGACCTTTCCGAACACTCCTGGATCCAAGACATCCAAAGGTATGTCCCACCCAACACTACCTTTGCTTGAATCCCGGGTCATTGCGGGGTACGTAGCAACCTCGAGGCAGACCACCTAGCGGCCTCCGGCAGGCTGGCCACGGTATACACCGATACAGTACCAGCTGCAGACCTGAAAAAGTGGGTCGACAAAGCTTTCAACGACTCGTGAGCCTCCTCCTGGAACAACGCTAGAGAGACTTTCATCTGGAAGGCTAAAGGGGATATCGTCCAATGGGAGGATCCTAAGAACCATCGAATACAAACTCTCAAGATTGAGTACGGGACACACCCACATATCGCACAATTTCTTTGGCACCGACCCTTTTCTAAAGATAGGTCTGCCAAGTACATCACTCCGTCGAACATGCCATCTGCCACTGCCCTCAATACGAGGGCCCACGCATGCTATACGTCATTGTTGGAAGCAGGTTTTCTCCGAGAAGCCGGCCTCTTCGATGCAATTTAATCGGACCGAATATGAAGTCTGCTGTTGATAGTTTCTAAGCCAAACTGAAAAGTACCACAAACGACGACACCAGCTACCCCCACAAGGATAACGAACCAAACATTCAAATATACCACGACCAGACAAGAACTCGTACAACCGACCAACGCAACGAAAACGACACCCCCAAGGTAAACAACCTGGCAATTTCGACGAATACCAAACGACTATCGACAGCATACACAGCAAAGACAGCTTATGGCACTCCATTCTGGCACTTCTGGACTCACCAAATCACAGGCTCCTCAAACAGTATTTTTTAATAAAATAAAAAAAAAACTCTGCAACTTGGGGGATCCCCCTTCTGGGACTCCCAGAGATGAACCAGCCTACGGCTGAAAGTCTCTTCAATAAATAAACCAAGCAACCAACTTTCTGCTGTCCGTCGCTGGTGGCTAACATGAACTGGAGAGGGTGCGAACATACAAAGCGACCATCAGGCGATCGCAATCCTGCAGTACGGAGGATGAGAACCTACGAGCGGAAGTGGAAGACGAGGGCTTTCGTCAAGGATCTCTGCTCAAGCACATAATAGACAGTTAAGAAAGTTTGTGGTAGAACCTAGAACCGTGATAGGGTCTATCGAGCAGAAGACTTCAAATAAATCCATGATTTCAGAGTTAACAAGTCAATTATGCGTTTGGTACGATACTTTAGCTAATAATCTACCGAACGAAGTCATTGAGAACGCGTGGTATGAAGGTTTGCACCCATTATTCTCAAAAACAAAAGAAGCGCCCCAATTTTTATTTTTCATCCGATAGGCCGAAGTGAATTCATTGGCGTTTAAATGGCGTTTCAATGCGTTAAGCTGAGTTAAGAATCCGTAGGCCGAGTTTGGCGTCAAGAAGCAGTGTTAGACTTTTGACAATATCTCAACAATTAGTTTCTCTTTATCAAATCTTACGGTACGTACGGAAAGGTAAATAAATTTGAAAGCCAATACTAATAACATTCCGTTTGGAGCTAAACTGCGCTAGATTAAGAAAGACTACGTGCGGGTTGTGCTTAATAGGCCGGAAATGGGATAGTTAACCCTAATTATCCTCGTGTTGAAAAAATCTACTTAAGCAACTTGTTGCATAAATAGCTATTCTGAGAGAGCTATTCGACCGACTTGATCCATAATTATAATTTTATCTCATGGCCATACACTGAGGCAAAAGAACTTCAGAATTCCATAAGAACCACTTGTGAATGTTAGCCACAAGAAATCGGTATGAATTTCATTGATTCGCATTATGACAAATAATGTTGACAAAAAATAATAAATCGGAGCAGACTGGAACCGAACTATGGACGTTGAGATTACGGGTTCCGTGTGTTGACTACTCGTCTTTCAACGCTTTGGAAAATGGAACGCTTTGGAAATGATTAACACCATAAATCGAGCCTTATGACATTCTTAAGTCTATTTGCCTCGGTGTAGGAAAGGGCTATTTTGTACAAAGCAGCAAATATAGAGAAATTTCATGCTTAAAATAGCAATACAGTCTGAGATTTACTCCCTACACTCAAAAAATTCCACACGTTTGATCGAACACCTAATTTTTTAAATGCACAATCACATTTACTTTAAGTGTATTTCACCTCGGTTCAATGTGTTATACACGTTAATTTATAGTGTTTCAAATTTTGAAATGATGAAAAATTTTCACTATCTCTTCAAGTGCATTGCACATTGAATCACACTACTGT